GGAAATGTGAGATGTGTGAAGTGCAAAGAATGAAGTGTGGCTCCAAATAAGAGAAATGATCTTTAGACTTTGTAGATCCCCAAGCTCCACCACTTTTTAGGCAACAAGATATGACTGGCTTCTGCCAGAAAAGTACTAAAACTGCCAACTGGAGAGGATCAAGTAGGCAATTTATAGTGTATTGCTTGTTGTAACATGTTGACCAGAGAAACTTTGGATCTGCTGTTCAGGATGTTGGTAATGAAAATTCAAGTCACTTTTTCACTGCCTGCCAAGAAGGGCAGAGTCACAACTTCTAGTGGTGATCTGTCCCTCTTCACCCTGATTGACTCCTACAAACTAGTAAGAGAAGCATTCAGGCTTTTAGGAGGCTTTTCCTGAATCCATGGAGGCTGATCTGCAACATCATTATTATTGTTTTCTTTTTCTGATTGTTAAAATTGATGGCTTTAGCATATTTCAACCATTAGAGAAGATCAAAAAGAAATTATCGTAGAAAAAAGATTATTGGATATGATAATGGGAACCTCTTGAAGGACTAGTATAATGTTGATCAGAAAAGTGTAAGATATTAAGCTCTTTTTCTGACTCTTGCTTGTGAGTCCTTAAAAGTACTATACAATGGATCTTGGTCTGTAGGCTGCCATTAATTGAAAGCAAATTCTATCCTGAAGTTTTTATTCCTATATGTATTTGGAGAGTTCATATTTCATCTTGAATTTTAAAAGCAGATTAACAAAAACAAACCCCTCAACTCCTATCTGCAGCACTTTGGGGTATCATTCTGTGTTGTGGCCTTGTTTTCAGTCTTAAAGTTTTTTCAGAAATAAACTTCTCTGAATAAGGCATGACCATAATATCAGTTCTTTTAAGCTTATGTGTCTCTGCTGGCAAGGCAGGTGTATTGCAGTCATAAACCTACCTTGTAATATTTAAAAATAAATGTAGGAAAGTATTTCAGCATTATGCAATAATTTGTCTTTTGGCTTATTAGCATTATATTGCAGTAAATGTAACAATACATATAAATACTGTTTTTAACACAGGTCTCTATTGATATGGCTGTGACAATCCACATGTTCTTCTCCCCTCCCTCCATTTTTTCATGTTGTATCATAAATAGAAGTACATCAAGTGGGGCCTTTTCCTTCCATGAGAGCTTTTGAGGATTTACTATATCATGGTGTTCTTCAGTCAGCATGTTCCTTTCAGCTTCTGAAATCTTTGCTGTCCCAAGCAGTTTAAAAATTGTGGCCAAACTTTATGAATCCTTCTGTCATGAGAGATTAGCTGTGTATTGTCTTGCCTTGTGCAAGGTCCACAAAGAATGTGTAGATGTGACAAGAGATGTTTGAAAATTGGGATGTTTGAAGTGTGCAATGCAGGCCACACAGGTCTCCTGTCGTACTGTCAGTGTCAGGAAAAATACTCTCAAGTCCATCACTGCTAATGAAAATCAGGAATCTTACCAAGCAGGAGAGTTTGAACCCATCTTATTGCAACTCAATTTGAAAACTATCTTAATTCTTATAGATGCACACCAATAACCACCTTCTCTGAGCCCCACTAGCATGCCTTGGTTTTGGAGGATTTTTTTATTTGTTTGGTTTTGCTCCATTACTACTATTTCTGAAGGTACAAGCTCTTCTGTATGGATATTTTGGTCCAGGTGCTCTACATTACCTTTTACACCAAAGTACCAACTGATTTGCTGCTGTTTGCCTCTGTAAAGGGAGGAATGTAGTTCCATCAGGTGCACAGGAAGATTAGAAAATGAAGCCCCTGCTGAGCACAGATGTGTTGGGGTTGCCTCAGTAATCCTCCCAAACATCCTGGCCAGCTAATTATAGCAGCTGAGATGTCTCAAAGCATGGCACAGTAACAAGCAGTAACACCTGTCTGGGTGGGCTGGCTGCAGCTAAACTTTCTATTCTTGCTGGTGTTCTCTGTCTTTCTGAATCCTTTGCCTGTTTTTAATCCTACTGTAGTTTAAACACCTGTCTGTCTGGAATGTGTGAAATGTCACCATTACCCATGCTAAGCTATTTGCTCACCTGCTTGAAAAGACAGATTTCAAATAAGCAATGATACGTTGATACAATGATAATTAAAGAGGAAAGCATGTCACAGTAATAGAGTAGGATTGAGGTCATAATTCATCAGACTAAATGGTTCTTGGCATCAAGATAATGAGGAGAGAAAATTGGATGAAGTCATCTTCATTTCACACATTGGATGTGTTAGCAAAGTTGTGATCACTGTTGCTGACAAGCTAAGAATTGTATATAACCTATTTTATTTACCATGTTGCCTTCTGTGTTTGCATAATTTACCATTCTTCCTTCTTTTCAGACAATAAATTCTTTGTGACCAGCAGCTGTCATTGTTAGGTATTTGTATAGTGCCTGGCACAATCAGAACTAAATCTTACTTGAAGCTTTCTGTTACTGCAATGAAGATGCTTTAAATTTTAATTAAATTCTATGGAACACAGCAACATTAAGGGTGAGGTAGAGGCACCAAAATGTCACATAATACTATTTTTTGTATAAGGTGGATAACACTACCCATTACTAAGCTTGTCTGATAAAGCCCCACTGTAATATCTTCTCTTAAATTGCTTATAGTGTTCTGAAACTTTATTCATTTGAATTAATATTTTCTGTGCTTATTGTTTAGTTTTCAGAGCACTTCAGGCAAGGTGAAGTATTCCAGCCAAAACCGAGGCTTTGTTAAAAAAATATTTTGTGCTTTTTTGATATCTACAGAACCTTTTTTTTTTTTTTACATCTCATCTCCCATGCTTTGAAATAGCAATTTGGAATTCAGAATTTTGTTAAAGCTTGATTGCAGAATAACTGTTTAAAAACTTCAGGTGTAATATACTCAGCAAGACCTGCTAGACCTTCTCAGCCTCCTGAAGGGTCTCTCCACATTGAGGCTGCTAAACTGAATTTCTCTGTATTTGCACCTCTAATGTACGTTGGCTTGAGCTCCTGTTCTCCTGTGTTTTCAGTAACCTGGTCCGTGTTGGTTTGGGGACTGTCTGACTTGACTGCAGAATTAGAAGGAATTGTGCCAGGTGTGGAGAACAGCTAGGATATGGAGGCTGGGAAATTTGTATCTTGACATAATTTAGGAGAGAACACTGAGAACCAGACAAAACAGAAATGGATGGAGTGGTGGTGTGGTAAATGTGGGCAGCCCAACAGAGAGGTTGGCAAAAGGAGTGGACTGGGGAGGGGAATAAAACCAGAACTACTAGGATATAGGACATGTGAGAAACCAAGAATGGAAGTGTGGAAAGACAGATCAAGTAACTACTCCTGTGGAAGGTTCCAGACCTGAAATAATGTGGGTCAGGGTCCAGATGTAGGGAGGAAGCTAGTGCTGAAAGTCTGTAAGAATGAAACTGTACTGAGGAAAGCAGGGAGAATGACTCTAGAAATGCAGAAGCTGAGACTGACTGTGTGAGAATAATGACACATAGATGAGGAGCAAGAATGGGAAAGGATAGACCTGGGAAGGGATGAGATAAAGGTGGTTGCTTTTGGAGAAGTGGGCAGAAGCCTAGGGTATAACCACTAGAGTTTAATCCTGTCCAGAGCTTGAAGTTGGCGTTCTGAACCTACAAAATTGTTAGGTGCCTTGTACTGCTAAAACACAGGAGGGACAATGTACTGTGTTGTCAATGTTTATGGTCCAGAGTTCAGTGAGAGGACTGTCTGTAGTCCTGAACAAGCCCATTTTAAGTATGAGTGTATTGTGTTACAATGAAGGTGGTATGTACTTGTTTGAGCAATTGCACTCAAATTCTGTTAAAAAGAGCATTGTTAAGCTATGCTTAAGTCACACTTTAAGTGTCTTAAAAAACATCCCCCTTTGAGATCTGGAGCAGGGCTAGTCATTAGACTCTTACTTCTTTCTGTGTCCTATGTTTCATTGGACACATGCCTTCAATTGCTACAGAAGGGAGGAGGTCCAATACACGTAGGTCCGGTTCACCATATGATCCTAGGCATTGTGCAGACCCTGATGTTTCTGTTGTTCCTAAAAAGTAAAATGTGATCATGTAATTTAAAGTAGTTTTATGTCAGGGCCTGACTAGAAGGCCTTTGCTAAGTTGGCTTTTCAACTTTTCTATTGTTTTGTTACTTTTTTTCAAAATGTAAACCATTCCACTGCTGTAGTAGATCCATTGCATGATGTATTTCTTCAATACATTAACAGATAGTGTCTGCATGCAGAGTTTGATCTTTCAAGAGTGTGAGCAACACAGGAGGAATGCTCAGTGAAAGAAACAATGGAATGCATGTTATATGCTTAAAAACTTACAGGTTTTAGAGCTTGATATTGCAGATATACACCTGACATGATCTTTGTGTGTTTACTTGTGTGAACACAGTATTTGTAAGTGCTTATGTGAGCAGTTTCTTTAATGTTTGGTTGAGTTTTGGTTTGAATTTTGTATCTAAAGTACTTATGCTTTTGAGTTGTGTCTGTATGTTTGTATAGAGAGGGGTAGAGACAGGCCAGGTGTGTATGGTTGACTTAGTGACACAGCTCACCATGACTGGAGAGATACTATGGTCTTTGCTCAGTGTGATATTAAAGCTTCTAACTTTTGATCAGTGCATGTGGAGTTTATTTTTCACATGGCAGGAACTTTTTTACTTTGGGATTTTTGCCCCATCTTTGTCCTTTTCTTCATCTGCTCTTCTGTGAATGGAAGGGTTGTAATTTTCATGCTGGCCCCTGAATTCATCTCGGGTACAGTGGATGCTGGTGTCATCAATCACTGCTTTATGCAACTAGCACAGTGCTTTTACATTTGAATATTTCCATATTCTAGCAGTTTCACTTAACTTAGTACATACTCTATCACATTTACTTAGTGATACCTCTTTCTCTTCTCTTAGCTTTTTATTGTCTCTGATAGTTTGTTTGGGTTTGTTTTTGTTTTGTTTCTTTTTTGTTTGTTTGTTTGTTTGCCTCTTTAGTTAACAAACCTGGACTTGGCAAGTGGAGCTATAAGCAAGGGGAATGCAGCTGCCCCACAGAGCTACTGGTCACCACTCAACAAAAGAGGGTCACTGTGGCCTGTTCAGTCAGACACTCATAGAGATGACAAAAGATCTGTCTCTTCAGCAGTCAGGTAAGTTAAAATTGCTGCTCTAGCTTTTTGAAGAAGAATGCAATGCACTCATTGCTTATTTGTAATTTGTGTTTGGCTTCTTGCTCTGATGCAGGAGCATGTCCAGAGAAGGGCAACAGAGCTGGTGAAGGGTCTGGAGCACAAGTGTTAGATGAAGCAGCTAAGGGAGCTGAGGTTGTTTATCCTCGAGAAAAGGAGTCTTGGGGAGTGGGGGGCACAATATTGCTCTGTACAACTCCTTCCAAGGAAGTTGTAGCAAGGTGTGTGTTGGTCTCTTCTCCCACATAACAACTACAGGACATGGGAAATGATATCATGTTCCATCAGGGGAAGTTTAGATTGGATATTAGGAAAAATGTATTCACCAAAACGGTTTGTTTAGATTGGATATTAGGAAAAATTTATTCACCAAAAGGGTTTTCAGGTATTGGAACAGGCCACCTAGGGAGGTGGAGTCACCTGAGGATTTTTAATACATGTGTAGATGTGGTACTTAGGGACATGTTTTAATGGTGAACTTGGTAGTGTTAAGGTTAACAGATGGACTTGAGGCTCTTAAAAGGAGGATCTTCTCTAGCATGAACAAATGTGTGATTCTAAGGGCTTAGTAATGGTTCCTCTCAGGTCTAGAAACTAGCCATATGAAGATAGCTATGTTCCCAGAGCTGACAGGTTCATGGTGAAATAAGGGCATAGATGAACATGGTGGATGAGAGGGAAATGTCTGTTTTCCCTTGATCATTTCCCTTCCCTGCATCTGTAAGTTTAGGTTTGCTGGCATTGAGATATATATGCAGAATGCAGACTTAGATCTGATGCATGGTGAAATAAGGGCATAGATGAACATGGTGGATGAGAGGGAAATGTCTATTTTCCCTTGATCATTTCCCATCCCTGCATCTGTAAGTTTTGGTTTGCTGGCAATTGAGATATATATGCAGAATGCTGACTTAGACCTGATTCTGCAAAAATCTCCACTAAGTCCTCATCTTCATGCTTTTTCCTTGAATATCAAGTGTAGATTATCCAATGATAGTGTTTATCAGAGTCTCTTTTCCAGATGTGTTCTCAAAATCTCCACTAAGTCCTCATCTTCATGCTTTTTCCTTGAATATCAAATGTAGATTATACAATGATAGAGGAGTGTTTATCAGTGTTTCTTTTCCAGATGTGTTCTTTATACTCCATATTAATTTTGGGCACTGGAATTTATACTTACGGCTTACACACTCCTGGGAATCGGGGCCGAGGACTGATTCTACAGTAAAACCATTCTTCCTGTGATTCAAAGAGCAGCAAGATTTACTTGCAGGAGTGTGAATCGTGGAAGCTAGGAGCAAGGCAAACTTGCTGCAGTAACCAGGCTGGAATACAGGCTCAAGACTGCTGGAGATTTGAGTTCTTCCTTTGCCACTCCAGTAAATAATATTGAGTCATTTGCCTAAGTGTTCATTTTTGTCTTCTAAAACTGAATAATAAAGCAGAGCTTCTCCAAGACATTAATTTAGGTCTGGAAAGCACTGTGTACATGAAAATACTGATTTATATCACTGGTGCCTGACTGCTACTGAAAGATGGAGAGAAATGAGAGAGGGAGAAACACAGTGCAGAAGGCATGTGATCTGAGTGGTGATGCTTTCCCAAACGAGTCCTTCAATAGAAGGATTGTAATGGGATTTGGAAAGCTCAAGTGAAATTGTTCTTATTTCATCAGTCAGTACTTTTCATCCTGCCTCAAGAAGAGGAATGTGAAAAATTAATTCCTGGCCTGTTTCTGTTCCAGCACAATGTTTGCCTCAGGGTTTTAAAGTTATTGAGAGAAGTGGTGGTGATTCTGCTCTTGGACCCCATCCAGGGAAGCTATTACCTACTCCAAATAAAGAACCTATCCAACAGGTGTAAACTGCTTTCCCCTCCTCCATGGTTTGGGAGAGCAGCATCTTGCAGGCTGTCCTAGAGCTTCCATTCCCTTTTCAGTTCTGTTTGCACCTTTGCATGGGCTCACAGACAGAGCTGCAGACCCCACTACTAATGCCCATAACTCCACTCTGAATGATTTGCTGGGTGGTGCCTCATCTAGCATTGTGTGCATACTTTAATGCATTTAGTTAAACTTTGTTTTATTTTGTACAGCAATCTGAAAATATTTCAGAATTTTCCTGTCACAACTGATAGAAGATTCCATCTTCAAACCTTTTATGAGTCATTTAGTCTTTCATTACTTCAGTTGCTCTGTTTTCTGTCCTCAGAATAAGAGTCAGAAAGATGCCTTAAGACTCTCTATTGAATTATTTTATCTTCATGGTTGCTTTTATTGAATGGCCAAAATACTGGGAGTTAAGACTGTTGTGTAAATCTGGAAATGATTGATGCACTTGAGGCAGTGCTGGATTACTTGGTCTGTGAATTTCTGCTTAATGAGAGAATTCCAAAAGGAATATCAAGGTCATGGTATGTGGGGATGGCTATCTTGTATTGTAAATGCCTTTTTTGCTGCTTGATTTGTTACATTGGAGCAAGCAATTCATACCTTCAGGGTCATCTGATGGGCGTCAGCTTGTGCTCAGTGCTGGGTGACTGAAGAAAAGCTTCCTGTTTTTGAGATTGAGATTCTCCTCTATCAGTTGCAGAATTCAGCAAGGGTGGAATTGTTCTGTGAATGGGTCTCATATCTGGCTTGCACTTAGCTCCAGTTCAGGCATCTGTCTCTGAAGTGCAGTCCTCACTCAGTTTTTTATATTGGTTCTGTGCCATACAAAGTTGGTTAGAAAATTTTGTTTTGATACTGGCAAAGCTGTAGGATTCAGGCTATTCTTTTAGACAAATCACCTTCCCCTTTAATTCCCACTCTCCCAGTAGTGACTTATCTAAATGTATCTCAAAAGAAGTTATCCTTTCTTTTGTTGATTCCTTTTCTTTGCATGAGATAAGGTGCTAAACTAGGTATTTTTTAAATCTGCACTGCTGTGCATGTTGAGGTTGTTTTGATTTTTTGCCATTTTCTATAAGTATTGGCACTGTTTCCACTCAAATGATCTCCTAGTCTGTTGCTGCACCTCTGACAAAGAAGCCTACGGGGCTGCATGGGCTGCACAAGAGGTGAAATGTTCCAGGTTGTATGTGGCCTTACTTCTGACTGCTGTGATGTGACTGTCAACCTCTGCTGCATTTGCTGCAGACCTGCCTTTGTTGCCCTCTGTGTATCAAGGAAATTATGCCAAATCTGTTCTCTCCTTCTATAATCCTAGTCCTGTCTCAGTGCCATGTCTCAGTTCTGTCTCAGCTTCTCACTCAGTCCATCAGGCAGGATTGTCACTCCTTCACGTTGTGCTGTAAAGGCATTACATGTGATTACATGTAATGTAATTTGTAGTAGCGTTATTAAGGATTGCCATATGTAATTTTTATCGCAATTTTAGTAATGTAATCCAGGGACCACAACCATAAAAGTGATTCCTCATTCAGTGAAACAATGAGTCTACTGAAGCCAAGACTATACTATAGCTGCTCTTGAGAAATTATTTTCCTGAAAGCAGTCTTGGTTTCATAGAAAATATAAAAAATCAGGTGTTTAACAGAATAAAACTTGTTGAAACAGAACATAAACTAGCTTTGAAGTACCTGTTAGCAAATAGCTGTGAGGACAGTAGATGGAGGTTAATAGAGGTTTCTGGCACTGGAATTTGCAGTTGCTGTGCCACTTGTTTTTTGAAAAAGACAGTGGATTTCATCTCCAATAATTACTTGGGCTTTGTGGGTCACTAAATCTCTAAGACCTGGACCAAAACTAGCAAGAAAGATTTCCTTCTAGCTGGTGCAGATTTCTGTGTTTTCAATGGGCAACTTGTATTCAGCAGCAGCCATCCTTGCTCATGTTCATGTCATGGGGCAGTAAATTGGCAAGAATTAAGCAGTGGAATGGTCAGTGTGTTCTCAGATCTGTTTCATTAGCTTCCTGCTCGTTCATAACATCTATCTCAAACCTGAAGACTGACCTCACACTTCTAAACTGCTCAGCATATTTTTTCCTTGGATTTTCTTACAGACTTATCTAATTTAGTTAGGGCAGGTAGGCAAGCTTCCTTGTCATCAGTCAGAGGGTAGAATGGCAGTCAAATTTATATTAGAGAGCCTGTGAAGGGCTACTGCAGTCAGAGAGAAGGGATTCTCCTCTTTTCCTTGCTTGACATGTCTGAAATACTTCTTAGCTCATAATTTTCGCCAAGCTGCTCAGGTTCATCAAGAAATGTTTTGTTGATAGACGTGTCTTATCTGGTTTAAATTTATATAAACACATGCTTTTTGAATTTTCTGATCTAAGAGGGTTTTAAGTTTAATTTACTCTGCTATCACTCTCAGTAATAGCAACAGCTCTCAGGGCCTCACAGGCTGTGTGCACATACTTGCTGTATGTCCAGGTTCCCAAACAATCTCTGCTTTGGGTATTTTTGTTTTTATTTTTCCTTGTCTAGAAGTATAGAATAGCATGGAAAACCAGAAGAAGCTGTCCAGGCATTTATCATCTCAGATGCTTCTGGGTTGCATTGCATATATTTACTGCTCATGTACAGATCAACAATGCCAGGAAATCCAGTACTACTTTAAGAGCTTCCTGTGCCTGCTGTATTAGGAAATATTTATCCATTTATACTCCAAAAATTCTACAGCAAAATGGTTGTACACTCTGCTCATTTGCACACCCCAGCTGATGAAAATAGTCTCCCAAGTCAGGACTTTGCTTTTAATTGCTAGCCTTCCTTAGCCTTGGCTGGGTAGTGGATACTTTATATCCTGATTCCGCACCTAGTGCCTACTACTGCTTCATGCTGATTTCTTTTACTGCCAGGGGTACATGTACTGTGTGTTCTAGGTTTCAGATGCTCTGATCACACCAAGTATATAACCTTCGGACTTATGAGGAAGAATCCAGGTCTCTTTTGAGGCTTTTCTCTGAGCTGGTGTATTTGGCTTTTGTAGTTTCATTGAATCTTTTGAGTTTT